AAGCCTGAAGCAAGAGACAAGAAGTGAGCTCATTCATGCAGAGGCCAGAAAAGCTAAAAAAAAACAGGGGCAGTAAGTATGTTTGAACGTTGGTTTGAGGGACATGACTAAATCAGCAGGAAGACTGGTTCAGACTTTAGAAGAAATAATTAGATACCAGCTCTCCTCCTCATCATAAAGCCAGACATCTACTCTCTCCTGCCATAGCAGAAAATCAGAAGTTTACTGTGTGAAGAGATAGACCAGAGAAGGTTCTGGATTCGGGAGCATCAGGTTGAGGGGTAGGATGCAATTTTGCACTGACAATCAAAGGAAAAAGTTGACATAGGGAGTGGCACGAATCCAAGTTCCCATCTTCACAGCCAGACAATTTGAGAATTCCCCTCTCGGATATGGATTCAGATGCTGCACATGTGAGGTCATCCAACAAAATGATTTGCCCTACCTAATGAAAACCCCTAGCTGTGCATAGGAACCTCCAAATAAGCTTGTAACTTAATTCTTAAATATGAACAGACAACAAAGGGTCACCAAATATATGAAAAGAGAGTGTCTCTACAACCAAAGGAAGGGAAAAAACAAAGAGAACTCAAAAGGAAAATAAGAGTAACTTAGCTTGCCACACAAACTGCCTTGTAAAAGGGGCATGCCCATTCCCATGAATATATTATTTACCTCAGTCTCTACTGTTTATTCACAAACAATTTTTTGGCATTTAATATAAAATAAGACGGGCAAAGAGACAAGAAAATGTGATCCATCATAACGAAAGAATATAGAATTTGACGAAGAGTAGACCCAGATGTTCGAATTATCAGATAGAAACTTGCCGGAAGCCGGTCCATCCTTGATGCTTGACACAGTCGCTGCAGGGAAGAAACATCTGCACAGCATATGTTTCAAGGGACCTGGGGTATATGGCATACTGTTCTTAATATGGTTGCTCCCCTTCTTAGCGCTATGTGTTTTAACCAAGGTCACCTCTCCGAGAAAGGTTGTTTGGGACTAAGGAAGGGAATCAGTAAAACCCCTTAACTAAGTGCCAGGCGGGTAGTTAATCACTTTAACTACGAACAATCACGCTTAAGCTACATAATCTTTACTTAGGATAATCTCCTTCAGTTACTTCCTTGTAGCTTAATAGAACAATAGAGTAACCTTGGAATGGAGATAAGAAACGCCCTAACCTTTGGAATAGAATGGATAGGATTAAAATCAACTGGTATAAATACAGATGTAACAGGACAATAAAGACTGAACCTGGCTGGAGAACCCAACTATGCTGATCAACTGAAAGCTGCATCCGTGTCATTCCTTCTTCGCCGACTCTGTCCACACCTTTGGGAACCCCTGGACCTGCTGGGGATGGACCCCAACAGAAACTTTAAAATATCTGTAATAATAAAAGCATAATATGCTAATTAGACCAGACAGATGAATGACCATCTGGACAAAGCCGGGGCGGCGAGGGCCAAGGCAAGCCACCACAGCTACAAGGGCTAAGGCAAGCCGCCATGGCTGCGAGGGCCAAACCCCTTGCACAAATTTCATGCTTCAGGCCTCTAGTGATCAGTATAATAGAGGATCAAGTTAAAATGGTACACAATTAAACTGAAAACTTGACATATAGAATACTTGATTCTTGAAAAAATACTTGATTCACCCAAAAGATGGTAAGGAAGGCAAAATGGAGGAACAAATAGCAAATTAGACAAATCTAAAAACTAAAAGATTACAGATTTAAGCCCAAAGATTGTCAATCCTATATAATAAAAGCCTAATATGATAAGTGTCTGACCATTCAACTGTTTGACCAGTCACTATGATGCAAACTGACCAACAGGGGGCAGACGCTCCAACCATAGGTTAGCTTGCTGCTAAGGTCCGGCTGATTGGGACTGGGAGAGATGGGCCGGATACGCCCTGGAGCCCTCCCACAATCCCTTCTCTGACCTTGATCATGCACCGGTGGGGTCCCTCAGCCTGGCCTGTGCCTTCTCACAATCTGGGACCCCTCACAGATGTCAGAAAACCGTTTTTGGCCCGATCCCCATAGGCCAGGCCGAGGGACCCCACCAGTGCATGAATCCGTGCACCGGGCCTCTAATAATTACATAAAATGTAAATGAACTAGGGGGTGGGAGAGATAAGATGGTCAAAGAATACAAACTTCCAATTATAAGATCAATTTGGAGATTTAGTGTACAGTACAATGACGACAGTTATCAATATTGCATTGTATACCTGAAAGTTGCTAAGAGAGTAAATCTTAAAGGTTCTACACACACACACACAATGGTAACTATGTGAGATGACAAACCTTATTGTGGTTATCATTTCACAAAATATATGTGTATTAATCATCACATTGTACACCTTAAACTTCCACAATGATATATGCCAGTTATATCTCAACTAGAGGCCCGATGCACGAAATTCGTGTAAGAGTAGGCCTTCCTTCCCCCAGCTGCCAGCACCGGCTTCCCTCTGGCACCCAGTACCTGGGCTTCCCTAGCAGCCCTGGCTTCGTCCGTAAGGATGTCCAGTCTAATTAGCATATTACACTTTTGTTATTATAGATAAAGCTGGTGAGGGTGGGGAGGAATGTAAATGGACTAAACTCTCCCAATAAAAAGCATGAGATGGACAGATGGACAGAATTTTTTTAACCCTAATTATTTGCTATATACAAGAAAACATTCTTTAAACATAAAAGAGACAGACTGAAAGGATGGTAAAAAAGAAATCATACAAACACAGTACATGAAAGCTTGTGTAGCTATATTAATATCAAAGTAGATGCCAAGAAGAGTACTATGAGAAATAGAGAAGGGAATTTTATAATGATCAAAGGTTCAAATTCATGAAGATGACAATCTTTAATATATATGTACCTAATAAAAATAACCCCAAATACATTAAAAAATTTTAATAGAATTAAAGAAAAAAATAATAAAATCTACAATTACAAACTGATAAAACAGACAAAAAATCTACAATAATATAGAATATTTGAACAACATATCAACATAACCTAGTAGATATTTACAGAACACTATATTCAATAATGGAGTACACAATTTTCAAGTGATTAGAAGCATTCACCAAGATAGACCATATGCTAGGCCATAAAAAAAGATTTAATAAATTCCAAAGGAATGAAAGCATACCAAGTACATTCTCTAACCACAACACAATTAAATTGGAAATCAGTAATAGAAAGATCTGAACGTTTTCCAACATTTTCAAGTTAAATAATGTATTTCTTAGTAACCCACAAGACAAAGAAAACTATTACAGGAGAAATTTTCAAATATTTTGAACTAAATGATAATGAATATACACATCAAAATTTGTGCTTCTGGCTTAGAAAAGAAGACAGGTGTACAATCAATAACAATGGAAGTTTCTTCATTAATAAGCTGGAAAATGAGAAGCAAGTAAGTAGAAGAAAGGATATAATAAAATTAAAAGCAGAAATCATGTGAAGAAAAATAGACAAACAATACCAAACAATCAACAAAGTAAAACATGGTTCTTGGCAAAGATTAATAAAAGAGATAAACCTCTACCAAGACTGATCCGGAAAAAAAAAAATTTTTTTTAAATTGCCAATGTAAAGAATAAAAGGGAAAACATAAATTTATACCTTATAGCAATTCAAGAATAAGAAGATAGTATGAACATTATAATAATAAATTTAACTTCATAAAGGAATGGACAAATTCTTGATAACTGCCTAGTAAATTCTATTAAACATTTAAATAAAAAATAAAGGCTATCTCAATCTTTCAGAAACGAAAAAAATGGAATCACTCCCCAATTATTTTATATAACCAGCATATCTGTTATACTATATTTAGACACAGACATCATAAATCTAGACATAAAAATTCTTAACAAAATAACAGCAATTAGGATACTGCAACATATAAAAACTATAATAATTCATGAATGAATGAGATTTGTTTATCCTAGGAATGCAAAATAGATTTAACACTATGAAAAACCAATGGAACTCACAGATTAAAGGAGGAAATTAATATATGCAAACTTCAATAAATATTTTTTAAAAATCTAACAAAGTTCAATATCCACTCATGAAAATATAATTGCAAAATTTAAAAAAAAAAATAAAAAAAGAAAAGAAAATATAATTGCAAGACACATTCAATGTTTAAAAAGTAAAAAGATGAGATCAATTTTAATAATATATTTCCTTATGTGTTCAAATATATTCACATATATTGTTTAAATGTGGAACAGACAATACATCCAAAATATTATCATTTCTATATGTAATCAGCAAAACAATAGATTTTTTTGTACTAAGTCTTTAAAATCCAACTTGTATTTTATATTTATTTCAGCATATCTGAGTTTGAACTAAGCTACATTTTAAGTGCTCAATAGCCATATATAACTAGTGGCTACTGGATGCTAACTTTTAAGCATTTTACATAGATTATTTCATTATACCTCACAGAGGCACATACAGGGAAAAGTAACTTGTCCAAGTTCTCACAGTTAGTGGTAGAAACAGGGTAACTCAGATCTCCTGCTCCAAATAGCCATTCTATCTCACCTCAAACTAACTTTTTTTTTTTACAATATGATTAAAACTTTTAACTCACCATATATATATATATATATATATATATATATATATATATATATATAATATATTTTTATTGATTTCAGAGAGAAAGGGAAAGTCATTGATTGGCTGCCTCCTGCAAGCCCCCTACTGGAGATCCAGCCTGCAACCTGGGCATGTGCCCTTGACCGGAATTGAACCTGGGACCCTTCAGTCACAGGCAGACGCTCTATCCACTGAGCCAAACCAGCTAAGGTTCAACTCACCATATTAATACCATGATTCCTGCTTGAATATCATATATCCATTTTATGGAAACAAATATCTGGTCATATAAAAATAACTGATTTCCCCTTCCCCCACCCCCTCCCCAATGATTTAAAATCTGAAAGAACAGACTTACCATTAATATGAGTTTTTGATACTTTTGTTTTAGGTCAGCCATACTTGCAGACGGGTTTGCCCCCAGAATGCTGTACCAATCCTTTTTTGGTATCTGCCCAAATGCCATCATCCACTGAACAAGTGGGCCTTCTTTGATCAGCTGAATAAAAATATTGATGACAATTAATTAAATTCAGTACAGTTTGCATGTATGTATGAAATAAGCAAGTACTGCTTTTCTCAGTTCCTTAACATTTAGATATCTAGTTGAGTGAATCATTATTATAAGGCAAACCTGATGAAGCATATATTTTTGTTTAAAACACCCCAAGAGCCCTGACTGAGTGGCTCAGTTTGTTAAAAAGCGTTGTCAAATAAGTGAAGGTTGTGGGTTCGATACCCGGTCAAGGTACATACAAGAATCAACCAATGAATGCATGCATGAATAAGTGGGACAACAAACTGATGTACCTCTCTGTCTTCTCTCTCTCTCTCCCTCCCTCCCTCCCTTCCTCTCTCTCTAACATAAATTTAAAAAAATTTAAAACACTCCAAGAATTTCATGTATAACAGTACAGACATGTATGGAAAGCTTGTTGGATGTTTCATGCTATACGCTTCTTAAGTCTTAAATTAAGGAATATACAACAGCATTGAAAACAACTGAATTCGATCATGAACCCGAGTGATGGATGACCCTCTAAGAAGGTATTTCTGCAGGTCTTATGGTAAACGTGGCACACAGTAAGTACTCACTAAACACACTAAAGGGGCTTAAGAAATGTTCACAAAACGATTTTATTTTTTTTAAAGCAAAGCAAAAGACCAAAGAATTAAGATGAATTTGGGAGCATTCCCTCTTAAATGTCCCAATTCACTTCTTTTCTTCCAAATTATTTTTTAAGAATAATACCAGAAACAGCCCATCACACTGGAGGTAGCGAACAAGAATCCCCCTGCGATTGGGGGAGCGCGCAGAGCCCCCTGACTCCGTCCCCCCGAGGATACTGTCGGAAGTCTCCAGGCTACAGCAGAGACCCCGCCAGGAGCCCGGACACCAGGCAACCTCTGCCCGCAGCTGTGAACTTCAGGAGACAGCAAGGCCTCCTCAAAAATGGGTCCTCGTAATTCACTGAACTCACAAGCGGCTCTATCGTCAGCCACAGGCGAGTACCCTCCGCTGGCTCCACTCGAAAACAACTTACCAAACTTCATAGAGGCGTCGGAACGGACTCCCCGCTACCGGTCGGCCAAAACTCGGGACCGGCTTCTTTTTCCGCCGGAAGTTATTGTTCTTACGTGACCACGTTTCCAGTCGAGGCGTAGTGGCCGAGGCACTACGCGGAAGCGTCGCTCCACCCTCCGGGACGCGGTGGCTATGGTAACCAGTCACTGCTATGGTACCCAGTCGACGCTTCTAAGGAGTTTACTCGCAGCAGTAAGTGCTTGAGCTATAGGGAAAGGCATCTTTCCCTTCCTTCTAAACTCCCTCTTCTCCCTGATCCGTTACCCTCGCTTCTCTCTCCTGTCTCAGCGAGCCTGCCCCCATCCCTCCGGCAGCCCCCGCCCTCCCCAAAGCGCTCTACCCGGCGCTGCTCCCCGTTTTGTGGTTGGTGAATGCACTATGGCGGGGGTGGGGGTGGGGGGTGGGGTGTAAGAATGAGAACTGATTCCTCTCAAGTCCCTATTCGTCTCTTAGAATGTTCTCATTCGAACATTAAGAGAAATAAAACCTTTGCCGTATAGTTTGTTTTTTCAGTTAATTTTTTTTTCTGGGAAAGATGTTCAGCCAAATTGTTTCTTTTAGATTTTAGCAACTGGCTTAAAAGACACACACACACACACACTTCCAAGTCCTTTCACATTTACTGTCTTGCTTCACTTTTACTTTAACCCACTGAGGAAGGTAAGGCAGGTGTTATTTTCTCACTTTGTAGTTGAAGAAACAAACCAAAGATCAAGTCCAAATAGCTAATTGTGAGAGCAGCAGAACATGGTTTTTAGCAAGTCTGTATATTCCCAGGGCAGCCATGCTATCTGTGAAGCTTACAGAAAAAGCAGAGTAAACTGCTCGGTTAACTTTTTGGTTAGTTTTTTCCCCTCTTCCATCTCTCTTTATTTCCGTTATGCTTTTACCTTGTATCTTCTTTGTGCTGCTTACCTTATGTTGACCTTTCTTCCTTGCATTGTGCCCAGAGGCAGAAACTGTATGGCATTTCTTGGCAGCATGATTTAATTTCACTTGGAATGTTAAGATTGTTTTGTTGTTACTGCTTAGATTTGCTTTCCTTCTTTTTTTAAATTATTTTTCTTCTACAAAATCTCAGTTTGAGGAGCAATCAGGATAAACCTAAGCACATTCAATAAAATATTTCAATATAGCCAATTATTTAATGATGGTATGAACTATAAAGAATAACTGAATGACACAGTAAAATAAAATAAAAATCTCAAGCTATGAGTGTAGATTAGGTTCTTCATAGGAGACACAAAAACATAACACATTCTTTTTTTCATACTAAATCTTCAAAGCTGGTGTGTATTTTAACTGCACAGTGCAGTTGGACTAACCACATTCAACTAGTGACTACTGTATTGAACAGAGCAGGTAGTCAAGAGGATAAAGTCCTAACTCCTTAATCTGGCATTCAGTTACTTTCCCAATATGATCCTTAGTTTTCCAGCCTCATCACTATTATCTAATACATAAAACATATAAACAACTAGAGGCCCGATGCATGAAATTCATGCAAGAGTAGGCCTTCCTTCCCCCAACTGCTGGCACCGGCTTCCCTCTGGCACCTGGGACCTGGGCTTCCCTCGAAGCCCCAGCTTCATCTGGAAGGTTGTCCGGAAGGATGTCCGGTCTAATTAGCATATTATGCTTTTATTATTATAGATATTATAGATTGGATCTTTTCTTAGTACTTCATCTATAATTCACGAGGTTCCCCTTACTTATTGTAATATCCTAGCTTTTTTCTTCCTCCTATGATTTTTATCCCTTCTTTAAGACCTATCTCTTTTATCAGACCTTTTATGATCTCCCAGTCCTTGGAAATCACTTTCTTCCTCTCAACTTTCATAGCAAGTCCTGTGTGTACTACTAACTTGCATTCATCCTATCCTACAGGGTATTGTTATACACTTCAAATATATATTCTGATTTTCTAATTGGATTGTAAGATCTCTGAGGGTAGGAACACCTCTCAGAAAAACTAAGCACCAGCTATTTTGCCACATTCTCTAGAGTTCTAGTGATGGGTACCTAGAATAGGTTTATTTCTTACTACCTTATTTTAAGAAAGTAATTTATCCATTTCATGTAAAAATTAATATTTCAGAAATATAAACTGTTAGCATTGTGGTTAAGAGCATAAACTCTGGAAACTGACTGCATAGGTTTGAATCCAGACTCCACCTCTTACTGATTATGTGAACAGTTTAAATTAATCTCTGTGCAAAGCAAAATAGGAATAATAATAGTATTTCCGTCATAGATTTGTTGTGAGGATTAAAAAGATAATAGTGCCTGAAAGTCATAAGTACTCAGTAAAAGTTAGCTGTTGTTATTAATAATTAAAATTTTGTTTTGATATTTATAGCAGTATTTTAGGAATTTCCATACAGAGCAAACAAAAGCCACCAGCTATTGAATTAGAAAAATGAAATAAAACCCAAATGTTTGTTGAACTATAGTTTGCAGGATAAATTAAAAGCATGAGCAAAAACTTCATTCCTATGTCACTAGCATAAACATAAGCAAGGTAGAAATACATTAAATGTTTGATTTCATGGTGATTGATCAAGTACTATACCTAAAGGTAGCTATAGCTATAGATGTAGCAGGGGCTTAAGACCCTTGGTTGTAGTGTTAGTAAAAAAGTCACATTCTTATTTAGTTTGTCATTTTAGTACTTGCCTGTCCATAAACTAATGTGTGGATGACCACCATCCATTAACACATTTTTATTTTGAGATCATATTAGTAAATTATGCTTTTAATAGTGGATAACATTTGCAATAGCTACAGTATACTTCTGCTAATTTTTTTTTATCCTAGGATTATATTTACCTGGCTCTTTTACTAGTTTCTTTGCCAACTATTTTTTAAATGAAATTTATTGGGGTGACATTGGTTAATAGGATCATATAGGTTTCAGATGTCAATTTCTATGATGCAAGATTTGTATATTGCACTGTGTATCCACTACCCAAAGTCAAATCATCTTCCATCACCATATATTAGGTCTCCTTCGCCCACACCCACCTTTACCTCCACCCCCTTCCCTCTGGCAACTGCCACACTGCTGTTTGTGTCCACAAGTTTCAGTTTTATATCCCACATATGAATGAAATCATATAGTTCTTAGCTTTTTCTGGCTGGCTTGTGTCACTTAGCATAATATTCTTAAGGCCCATTCATGTTATCCCAGTGGCAGTGTTTCATTTTTTCTTATGGTTGAGTAGTTATTCCATTGTGTATGTACCACATATTTATCCAATCTTCTATCACAGGACACTTTGATTGTCTCCATGCCTTTGTCACCATGAACTATGCTGCAATGAGCATAGGGGTGCATATATTGTTTCAAACATATGTTTTTTAGTTTTCTGGGTATATATCCAGGAGATGGATTGCTGGGTCATATGGTAACTCTATTCTTAATTTTTTTGAGGAATGGCCAGACTATTCTTCATAGTGGCTGTACCAGTCTACACTCCCACCAGCAGTAAATGAGGATTCCCTTTTCTCCACAACTTCTCCGACACTTGTTATTACTTGTCTTGTTGATAATAGTCATTCTAACAGGTGTGAGGTGGTATCTCATTGTAGTTTTGATTTGCATTTCCCTAATTATTAATAAGGTTGAACATCTTTTCACATATCTGTTGGCCATTTGCATGTCTTCTTGGGAGAGGTGCTTGCTCATGTCCTCTGCCCATTTGTTAATTGGGTTGTTTGTTTATTTAGCCAACTCTTTTTTAATTCCCTTGATCTTATTTGTCTCTGAATTTTTAGGATTTTTATATTAGTGACCTAAGCTATATTTAAGTACCACAGAATATTATGGTTATATTCTAAGATTAAATTATTGCCCCTAGAGCAATTTAGAATCTGCTGGGAAGATAGAATTAACTAATGATGAGATACACACACACACACACACACACACACACACACACAATACAATGATATAGTACATACATAGCTTTCATTCACTTAATAAATATTTATTGCGTGTTTACTATGTGTCCCACATTCTGTTACAAAAGACACAAGACAGAGTTGGCTGCAACCCTCTCAAAAGCTTAGAATTTATTAGTGTAGACAACGATTACAGTAAATAAGGAGCTGAAATATCTGTGGAAAGTACTATGCCAAAGAAAATAAGAGGGGCTATGACAGTTAATAACTTACATGAATAGAATAAAGCAGATTAATTGGATGATTGAAATTCTTGAATCAAAATTAGGCTAGTCCAGGAAGATGTATGGAAGTGTTAAGCTTAAATAATGTTTCAAGTGAGTGGAGAGATGAATGGCTAGAATTAGAGAAACTTATTTTCTGGGAGGGGGCAGCTTATCATAAATCTCTAGACAGTATTGAGAATCAGCTCTAATGAATAATCGTGCCTCATCTTTCAGAAATGGTTTTTCATTTTTGCCTTTTTGCTCCTTGCTGGTTGTCTTCATTTGATCTAGTCTTTCTTTCACCTTTTCAGCAATAATCATCACTGAACATTCATTGAGTTTGAGTAAGGCAATGCATGAAATATGAGAGTCAAAGAGGTAAATGCCAGTAGGTTTTGCTGTCACACCTGTTGCTGTGTTTTCCTTTTTTTTTCTTCAGTTTTGTCAATGTTCTTTCAAGTTTGTTTCTGACCTCTTAAAGGTCTTTATCTTACCTGAGAATTTTTTTCTTGTCTTCCTAACTTCTTCATATCTGATGTTTTAATCTTTTCATGGATATGTTTAAAATTCTGTATAAAATACATTTTTCTGTGTGTGTTTTTTTTTAGTAATACCAACTTATTATTTCCCCTATTCAGTTCTTTACCCCTTTTTTCTTTGTTCTTATGACCACTGTGGCTTTTCTGTGAGCTTTTCAAATACCTTGAAATTTGAAACTTTGTGATGGTCTCTTTGGACCATGTGGTGAAATGCATTTATATGCTATTTCTTTTTTAGACAGTATTCTTCCATTGTAAATGTTTTTTAAACCTGAATAATTTTTAAAAGTTTATATTATTTTTGTCATGTCATTGACTCACAGAAGAAAGG